TCTCCCGAAGAGAAGGTACTGCGATGAATTTACTTCTGAAAAAATTTAAACTACAACAGTTATTTGCACCAGGGACTTCACCAGTATGAAACAAGCAGCCGAGCCCCACATGTGTGTGTACAACAGGTACTTTCATGAAAAACGTTTGAACGAGTAAGCTGCTTGTCTGTAACATTGCTCCCCTCTTTAAGTGACAGGATTTTGAAATGTATAAAATTGCTTTCCCTTTCATGTGATTTCTATGAAAATCATTTTTCTTGCTCTTAACATGGAAAATTTTAAACCTGTTGAAACTAAACTCATCCTTTCGTTGGCAGAGAGACTACTTATTTTTTGGCTAATAAATGCTATGGTTTGGTTCAGTCCCGATTGGGTATGAAAATTGTCAAACTGCTGAAGATCAGAAAGTTGAAAAGTGAATTAAAGGCGAAAGGGAGAGGTCACAAAAATAACGAGCTATCTGACCATCCATGGTGGAGTGAGCTTCAGGCCTCACACTTTTGTTAGCTGATTAACGAGGTTACTGAACAGGGTGAAAGAAACCAGTACTATTAAGCCAGCCTTTCACTCCGTAGCAAAGAGCATGTATTCCCGAGACTCTAAGTGACCATAACGCACATAGGTGGTAATGTGAGATCCCCCCACCACAAAAAAACAGCTGTTAGAAACACTAAGGGCCTGTGTTGAAGGTATCTCAGTATGTCCCGTTTAACCGAGCAGCAGTTATCTTAAACCAACAAACCCAGGCCTTCACTGTTCAGCCCTTCCTCCTCAGACGACTGCAGTGGTTCACATCCAGAAATAAGGAAAAAGCATGTTCATTCCTGTATGACCTGTTTTAAAGCTCCCAGCCCCGAGAACCCACGTATGCCTCATGCCCTGTAAACAGCATGAATTTATAGTTTAAGAGCGATTAATGAATTGATTTTTAAATGGCTAATGAAACACCTTGATGAGCAAAGTGAGTAACACTGAAGCAACACCCTGCAGTATGGGATCCAGCTTCTAGATCCCCAGGAAGAGAAGAGAGGTTACTTGCCCAGCAGCACAGACCAGCTGCACACCTTTAAATCAATCCTGAACTTCCCATCAAAATTTACAATTATGAAAAAATGTAAGAAAACTTTGGGGGAAAAAGGTTACTTACCAGCAGCCAGAGCTCTTTGCGATGTGTTGTGCGCATGCACTTTTGCTCTACAGAGCTCCAAACATCAGAGGTATCCAAAATCATAAAATGGGGGTGGGGGGGTGGGGTGGCCCTCACAATCCTGTGGGTGTGCACTCGCCTCTCCCTTTTCCTTCACTGGACAGCAAGCATGGAGCTATGATCTGTCAGCCACACGGCAAGGGAGAAGGGCATATGGTTACCACATATGTGGGCAGTAAAGTAGCTAGAATCTCTCTGAGACAAGGAACTTCCCTTTACATGTGTATCCCTATGGATGGCCACACCACAGGCAATTGAGTGTCCCAGCATTCTCAAAAAAAGGTGGCTGGCAGAGACCTCTTGGTTCTTTGGTTGAAGAGTTCTTGAACTAGTTGTCCGGTTTGCAAAGGGATGAAACAGAGGTACTACTGAGCGACCCCCCAGATGCAGTCTGAGACCTGTGAGGGTATCTCCTGGCTACAGCGAAGCACGCTGTTTGAGAAGTGACACCGTCCGTTACCCAGCCTGGAGACGGTCATCCTCAGCTGGGCAAGGGAGCTGAAGATAACCTGAAAGTCTCTGTCCCACGCAAAGAAGATGACAATATTCTCTTGCTACACAGCATGTGAAGGGAAATCTCAGACCTAAAACTACAGGATTTAGAAAGAAAAACACAGGTGGGTGAATTTCCTCATTCAGTGACGTGGGAGAAATCCCAGATGAAGTCTAAGGGATTTGCCAGGAAAAGAACAGTAAAAGGTGTGGGAGGGGAAAAAAGTCAGCCATGGGGATTTGGATCTTCTGCTGCCTGGCAGAGGTGATGGACATTGGAAAGAACAGCGAGGATATGTTTCAAACTCCTGAACTTAAACCACCTGATGGTTTAAATGACCAAGGTTGTTGTGCTTTTGAGTTAACATACCCTAGGAAAGTAGTCTTGACGCAGCAGTCAGTGATCATGGCAGTCCACAGGTTACTGAAGTAGGCTAACTTGTATTCAAACAGACTAGGGCACGAAGACAAAGCAAGAACAGATATCCAGAGAAAATAAGGTTCTGAGGCCATCTCCTCCAAAGCAGTGCTCTGATAAAAAACATCCAAACCAAACCAAACTCCATGCAAGAAAGAAGCCTATCAGCTATGGAACGGTGGCTAAATACTCAAAGACCCTTGCTAGGGCACGCAGAGACGCAGCCAACAACGCAAGAACAAGAAAGGCTTCTGCAGGTAGGTGAGCAGCAGGCAGCAGCACAGGGAAGACACAGGACCACTGCCTAACAGGGCAGGGAAACTACTCACGACTCGGACGACAAGGCAGAGGTTCTCAGTACCTACTTTGCCTCCATCTTTACCAGCAGAGCACAGGATCAAGTAGCTATGACAACACGTGTGTCACGGAGGAAGGGCTGGTGTGCAGCCTCTCAAGGGCTCAACCCACAGAAATCCATGGGCCCAGAGGAAATCCCCCCAAAGTTATTAAAAGAAGTGGCTGACACTGCTGCAAGGCCACTGTCTAGAACCTTTGAAAAACCTTGGAGATCTCAATGTAAGAAGGAAGTTTGTCGCTGAGAACAATCAATCACTGCCAACCACCCCTCCGGGGATGTGGCAAAGTACCCACCGCTGGAGGTTTTCAAGATGTGACTGGACAGGGTGCTAGATAATCTTATCTAGGCTCCCTTTCCTGAGAAAGGTTGGACTGGATGGTCTTTCAAGGTCCCTTCGAACTGGGCTGTTCTGGGATAAAGATGGATGAGCTGAGGGATTCAATGCCGAACATTTATGTCTGTGGAAACACCAGTATTTTCTCAGCTGCTTCTGAAACTGCACAGTACCACATGAGAGGCTGCATCAGCTGACTCTTTTGGCCCGCTGTAAACCAAGAAATGCATGTCATTCATACCTGAGGCTCAAACTATGGAGCCAAAGACTTCTGCAAGGAAGTGAGAAAGATTTGCACAATGTACTGCATTTAGGAGGTAAACAAGCTTTGATTTCCACCTTACTATTATCTGGGCTACACAGATCTGGAGCATATTGGAGCAAAGCTCTTCCTAGAGTACTGGAATGCCTGAGAAACCACCTTCATAATATTTAAGAGTAACGTGCTGTCAGGTTCCTTTAAAGGTTTAACACAGAGGACTGTAAATCTCCCGCGCCTGTTGGGGCCAGCCGTGGGTTAGGGATAGCACAGTGCTAGAAAACCAGGTCAGATTTTCTAAGGAGAGCTGAACTGAAGAAGGATGTACCTGCAGCTTGGTCCTACAGATGGCGAGATGGGTCTCTAGCCCCTGGGGAGAGAACAAGGACAGCATATTGGCAGCAACTGTCCTATTTCCGTAAGCCCCGCGGACGAGGTGCGTACCTCCTGAGACGCAAAGTAGTCCTCATACTGCTCTCCCGGGAACACAGATGAAGAGCTCGAGTCCCGTGCCCTTCGAGAGGTGGAACGTGGGAAGAGCTCAGCTGCTGTGGCCAGCGCCAACAGCGACGGCTGGCTGTCCTCCAGCACGACAGTAAGTGCCAAGGCAGAGCAGGGGATGGTTCCATCCCATCAGGGTCCTCGGCAGTGAGCGCTTTGGTCTGTGGTATTGGGTAAGATCAACCCTGTAGCACAGCCTCGGTTACAGAACTTGGGTGGAGGAAGATCCAAGCAGCTCAGTTCATGGAACTGAGCCAAACACAGAAATTCAGAGGCAGTTCTCTTGATTCTTTTTGGCTGGTTGAGATCCTCAGGTGCTGAGAAAAATGACAGACCTCACCCAAACCTCATCTAGTAGTCTCTTGGTGTTAGGGTAGCCTTGGAGCTGCTAACGCAGCGCAGGCAAAGGGCCCCATCTAAGCTGATCTTTAGGCTAAGCAATTTCTGATGCAACCATGTGTTTCTTGATTGGGTGAGGCTCTTCCTCACTCAGTGGTGCCAGAGAAAGAAAGGTTCATGATAACCAGAACTCGGCCGTGATCCACGATTCAGATAATCCTAAACGCTAGTGTCAGAGGTAGACCACTACTTCTACTAGGATACTTCTCTCATTTTAAGCAACAGGTAGTAAATATGCCAGGGATGTATAACTTCCTGTTGCAAAAGGAAACAAGCAGCAACCACATGCCAGGGAGGCACATGCCTCAAGACAGAAAAACACCGAAGCCCATCAGACCCATGGAGTACGATTCAGGCAACACATATGAAGCATCCAGGCTCATTTCTAATACGGAAAGGAAAAGCAGCAGACACCACGCTCCCATAGGGAGGGGCACTGGATGTGACAAACTCAAATGAAAAAATAATCACACAAGAGTGGTTAGAAAAGAGAACTACCTAGCCAAAGGCTGACAACAATAAAAACCACAAAGGCATGAAGTTGAGAGGCATCTAGAATGCCTCCACTGTTGTGCACCGAGTATGAAAGAGGGAGGGGTAGTGAGAAAAAGCTTTAACTTCGGAGACCAGAAAAAACAGGAGGACACTGTCCTTGAATACCTGTAACATAGGCTTCTCTGGTAGTTTTCTGTAGTATAAACCAGCTGATGTCTACCAAGACTTAACACTACAACACAGTACTCCTTTGCGTCCACAAAACCGCCTGTACTGACCGTTTGCTGTTTCACTTGATCAACTGCATCAACATACCACCAGAGTATTTTAACATGTGAACTTCATCTGCTTTCCCTGCATTGAATGGTGTCCAGTGTTTCATTCAACAAGCAGCTCTTCAAAACAACAGGAAAAACTAAGTAGGGTTGTAAAAGTCACGCTTCCATGGAACCACTGGCCTTTTCAGGATATTTGATCACACAATTCCATCTGATCAGTGAGAAAGAACCAGTAGCAAAACACCGAAAACACAAATGAAGAGAGGAAAGTTAATTTATTTGTCTAAAACATCAAACTAAGTTGAGATACCTTAGTTTAGTCAAAGCTTCTTCAGTTTCTTCACAAGCCTGTACTTCATAAACAAATATTCCAAGTTCATCTATCTACAAAAATAGGATGGACAATTCTTGACTTTCTTCAGGTATCGAGTTAATTTACAAGTCCTTGAAGATCAGGTGAAAAATAGGAAGCGATCCTATATTCCTTAATACACTCCACCACGTTTCCCAAATGCACTGGAAAGGAGGAATATTAGCCTTCTTTGGAAAGGTGCGCGGGAAGGCTTATTGCCATCTCTTGGAGACAGGGTATGCATTTACACCACCATGACTGCCATGGTACAGAATCCTTGACGGCTACTTTTATACGACGTGACCAATTATCTGAGAGTTGTAGTCCGCTGTCTCCATTCGCAGAATATATGGGATGATGCTATCAATCTGAACATTTCCAATGAGTCCTGCAAAGAACAGCTCTTCAGTGATGGCAGCACTCATCAGCCTAAGAGCAGGCAATCGGAGAAGAAGTCTAGAGAGTCTGGAAAGTAAGTTTGGTAAAAAGTGTTACTTGCGGGCACAGATTTTCGTTTTGGCCTAATTCATGATCATATTATCAGCAGGAGAAGTGAAAAAATTTAACAAGGGACAGTAGTGGTCAAAATTCGCTATATCTAGTTCATGAAAGGCTTAAATATTTAAACCAGTAGAGTGTTAAATTTATGTTCAGTCATGTCTTCAAGAGTACAAAAAACGTGAATATGCCTGTCAATTAGATGGACTATACGACGTTTGGATACTTAGACTAAATGAGGAAATATTCCAAGTAGGTGCAATTCAAAATGAAAACATTACAAGTATTTTTTTCATTTGCAGTATTTCATTTTGGAAATGCAAAATGAATGCGTAGATAAATAATACCCATAATATGTATGAGTACATAATAATATTTGCATAATATTTGAAGTGCTCTAAATGTAAGTTCTGTCTGTTAAGGAGGTAAGAAGGGGATGTACCCATTTATTACAAGAAATACTGTACAAATCAGTATCACAGATGCTCTGAAAAAAGAATCAATCCAGTAAGCATGTAAGTTTACAGACCTGTAAGTATCATCCGGATACGCTTTTGTTACATAGTCTTGGAACTCCATGTAAGCCTTTTCTTGAAATTTCTCAATCTGTGCCACATTTTCTAGACCTGGGTGATCTGCAAAAAACCCCAAAACTCACTTGCCATTGTTACGCCTGCTCGACAGAGGGTGCACTAAAATCCATACATATTATCTGAATGTGAGCATACTGAAATCATAGAATCACAGAACGCTTTGGGTTGGAAGGGACCTTAAAGACCATCCAGTTCCAACCCCCCTGCCATGGGCAGGGACACCTTCCACTAGACCAGGTTGCTCAAAGCCTCATCCAGCCTGGCCTTGAACACTTCCAGGGATGGGGCATCCACAGCTTCTCTGGGCAACCTGTTCCAGTGCCTCACCACCCTCTCCGGGAAGAACTCCTTCCTGATATCTAATTTAAACCCCATCATTATTTGGTAGCTGTAGCAACTTCACAGTTTTAGTGGAGGGCACTGCTTTACATTTTTTTCCCTTACGTTTACGCTTTACTGAAGTTTTAATAAATAAAACCAGACATTTTGAAGAGTTCAAATAAATGCAGTGCTTGCAATGGCTGCATCAGTCTTGCTGATACAGCTCTGTTCTCCGTACAGCAGAACAGCAGCTTTGTTTCAATACACTGACATTTATTGGAATATTGTGTGCACAAAAAGCGTTTGGGTGGGAAGGGAAGGATAAAATAAAGACGAGTGGAAAAAGCAGAATAAAAGGCCGTGAACCATTCATTTCCTAAAAACTGCAGGAGATATGTAGCAAATCATTATTTCCCAACTGTTTGGTGCCAAATTTTTAAACATGCTAAACACAATTTTTAGTGGCGTTTTAAACACTTGATATCTAAATCTTGCTAAAATGAAAGGATATTAACCTAACTGCCAAGTCACATTTGGAAATTATTATCTGGTACTTCCGAACACTTCGCGTGGTCTGTAAGTTTTATTATCCATCTATCTTAATGTCAATATTTTACTGTCACAGTAGCATGACAAATCGTGTAGATTTTATTTTTCAGAGAGGGAATCATAAGTGAGCTGCCAAATTATGTCAGATAAAAGATTATTTGTAACAGTCCCTCCTTCTCTCCAAATATACGACCTTCTGTCAAAAAGCCAGGAGTTTCTCGTCTAGCTCTGCAGATACAAAAATCTTCAGAGCAACTTAGCAGTTATGTGACACACTGGACTCCCTTGAACACATAATTTCACAGAGGAGTATTTTGCCCTATATAGTAATTTAGCCATTCTGAACACACGATTTCAGATCTACGCAGAGGACAAGAGGTTAACCAGTTTGTAAAAGAAGCACAACATGTTTGAGTTGTCCTTAACATGTAATATGCATCACTTCACGATGCTGCTTTTAGAGTAATGTTAGAAATGCAGCTAGGGGTCAACTTCCGAAAACAGTAGGTTTGAAGACCGCTGCTAGTATGCTAGTAGCCACTTCTAAAGAGGCAACGTCTTCTCAGCACTCACATCTCTTCGCCCAAGGCTGTCTTGTGACAGTCTAACAGCTGGCTTGGCACAGGTTTTTCAGTAATCTTTGAGCCTCCAGCTATGGAAGAGAGCAAATCAGCAGGGCCTATTAAAACAGATGTTCTTACCTTAGGACTCTGCTGCATGTGCAGCTCAGCCCCATCCTGTAAGGAGGACAGTAAAAGCCCTGAAATTGTCATTTCTGGCCTATGAAGCATTGCCAGAACATCCCTCCTGTTCAAGGTACTGAAGGTACTGAACATGACTTCCAGGTGTATGCAGGTATTGGTATATGGCTCAGAATCAAGCATACTGCCAACACATTGCCGTTAAAGCAGCGACACATCATCAGGAATGGGATTCTGAAAACATGCGAGCTAAACAAAATTCATCTCCATCACATGAATGGACATAGTCTTTCCCCAAGACATTTTTCCTTCTACCTTTTGTGTTGTTAAATCTAATTGGAAGGAGACAAATTAACTTCAGACTAAACAAACAAGTAAATGTTGCTTTGGAAGTGTGTAAGGTTCCTAGAAAAATATTTTCTGGTGTTTAACAGGGCTGATTTCTTTAGGCAGGCCTACAGATTCTGTCCCATATCTTAGCAGACATTGTGCTAGAAAAATGGGCTTCAGGTATTCTTCCATCATTTTGTTTCTTTCCTGGAGCAGCCTGAACCAGTTCCAAGTACAGGAATGACACAAAAGAGCTGTTTTGGTGTAAGGAACACCTAAAGGAGAACTATACCTGTGGCAGAGGCAAGAGCAAAACTGAAGTCCCCACAGCAGCATTCAACTATTTTCATGAAAAGATTAACCCTCCTCTTCCTCCAGTCCTCACTACGCACCTTTCGGGATTCCTCAACAAGTGAGGCAGTAATTCTACAGGTGACAGTAACTGCACGTAATGAAATGGGCAGAAGCTACATGGCAGAAAGCAGGTTCAATTGAAGTTTTACATTTGGAATAATTACATACCAGGGCTGAAGAGGACGATTGCTTTCAAATATGCATATTCGTATCCATCTAGGCAAAGCTTAACCATGCTGTTACAGAACTCTTGCAATTTGAAGATATGCTCCATTATTAGTTTTCCTCGCTCTGTTGGCAGCTTATCTAGGTCAACACACACAAAATATAACCCCCCCCAAGTCAACATGCATGCAAAAGAATGTGGTCACACTGGATTTTTAAAAATAATGATTTGTATTAGATACAGACAGTGGGAAATCAATGCCATTTATAAACTCTCACGCTAGGCCTGAATAACCTTGACACCAACAATTATGGATTATAACCATTTTTTTGAGCTTGAAATCATCATGAATGGGAAAGACTTAGAAAGAAAACACTGCTACTGCAGCTCTGTGCTCTGCGTCTAAGGAACAGGTGCCATGAAGCAGGTGAGCGTCAAAGCCCCTGCTGCGGCTGAAAAAGAAGGTGCACTGTACACCTTTCCTCATTTGCATCTAGGGGAATGTCACTGGTGCAGAGCCGTTCCCCTTGAGTCAGCAGTACCTAAGCAGCCTGAAAATCCTGTTCCCTCCACCATCTATCAAACTAGGGTCCCTGGGCCCCACAAACTTGTTATCTCTTGGAGATGCTGCAGCTGGCATGCTACACAGCTGGAAGACATTGGCTGCAAATTCCTGATTTTTGCATGCCAGCTGAATTCTCAAATTAAATGGCAAAAATATGTACCTGTAGCCATGATAAAACCATTATTAATTACCACAATACCCTTTCTAGTGAACATCCTTAAAAAATATGGAGACCAAAGTACTTTCCCAGATTCCATTTGTATCCCTCCTGAAGAAATTCACATATCTGTTAGTATGTTTTGCTGATCCGTTACATTTAGTGGTTTAATCAGTTTGTTTTACTTAAAAACTATTGTTATTTGTAGGAGGATCTTGTGGATATCTTCCAATCATGAAAAACCCTCATAAATACTTCTTTAATTCCATCATAATAGAAGGAGAGGGAAAATGTACAGCCTGATGGGCTGCTGTTTGTCTACAGCTTACCAATCTGGTTTTGCATTGCATTAATGGCAGTGAATTTTCATCCCCGTAACAGCAAATAATGGCAAAATCTAGTTGAACCTGAAAGTGCCAAGATTTTTGTATGTGCATCTACCTGATTAAAAATGTGTGAAGACTGTGAACAGACGAAGACTATACCTTTTTTAACTGGTTAGCTTTTAGCGATGAAAACCTTGTGAGCCTTCACAAGCACAAAAGATTAGCTAAAAGACTCCTTTACCACGCAGAAGCCCATTTCCTTCACCGTAGATGAAATAGGAAGCCAACGGACATCTCTCTCATTTGAATGAAAAACACGCAAAAGTTGCAGGAGGTAGGATTAATAAGAAAGGAAGATTACTGAGCCTTGGATGTAGTCTAAAACCAGAGCAGAGAAGCCAACAAGCCAAGTTATGTCAAGGAAGGGCATCACCAAGTTGGCACTTGGCTGCTTTGTTCCACGGGCAGGAACAGCAGGGGCGGGTGGGTGACTCGTTACTCTACACCCTTGATACAGAGGCATCGCACGCACAGCACACTTGTGAACACTCGCGTTCGTAACGTTGGTGCCGCCTGAAATCCTCCTCATTGGAGCTGATGTATACTAACAGAACAGCGAAACACTATTAGACATTACACAGACACAATAAAGAAAGCAAATGCTACCGTAGATTAGAAAGATGGTTATTTTTTTAATTTGGGGGGAAGGAAGTATTAGCATAGCTGACTTCTGCAAAATTGCTAAAAAATTCCACCTGGTGAACAGTATTCCCTAGGATTATTTTGTTGGCACACTTACCACTACACTCTGCAAGCAGTAAATTTTCATTAACAGCTGAAGGATAATTGAAAACACTCCTGCACAGTTCAAAACTTAAAAAGCAGGAAGTAACTCCCCGGGCCTGGCAACGCACGCAGTATACACCTTACCTTGCTGCAAACTGGTATGAAGGTGATTAACAAACGCAGTTAGGATAGTTGCCACGTTCATCACTTGTGAACACTGTGCAAGACCAAGCGTGAAAAGTTCGTTCCAGCAGGCTTTTACTAATGATATGCTGTTATCCTGTCTATTAAAAATAACACAGTAATTTCACTTAGTAAAACCAGCCAGTTGTATTCACAGATTTTAAATTTGAAGAACACTTCAAAAAACATTAATCTAATTCAACCATTGCAACCAATACCAAAATGGAGCCCTGCATCACAAGTATTATTCGCATGCTGGGATTAAAATACCTGGTTTAGAGTGATATTTGTAAAGAAGTAATTTTTGTTTTAATGGTCTAAAAGGAAATAGATCTCTATCACAAAAGCAGGCTGAAGTTACAGTGAATGACAGCTGTCCAGGCGTATTCCATCATGCTAGTTTTTTTAGGATTTACACTTATTTTTGGATAAAATTTACCTGCGGGGCAAAAGCCGTTTGCATTGGTCCCGTGTTGTGAACGTAGAAGAGACTCAAAGGTCGGGTTTTCTTTAAACTCGAAATCTGGCAGGTTGGTATAATTTCTTAATTAAAAATACATGTGCAATGGAACATGTAAGATCAAGTTCCTGAGCCTCCGGACTGCTGTCTTCTACATCCTCTTCATGTTTAGAATCAGGATTGAAACACAGACTTGGAAGTGCAACTAGAAGTCATGAAGATTTGTTTGCTGGAAGAATTAGTCCTTAAATTAAGTTTCATGTGTAGTCACTTTTTTTTTTCCCAAACACTGAGGCTTAAAATTAGGTGTATCAATCCATATTCAGGCACTTCCATATCAGCAACCTAACTTTCAGTATTGCCAAGCGTCTCTAACTCGTAGAGCTTAACAAGAGCTCAGTACCTTAAAACGGAAATCCTACCAGTGAGGAGTCAAATTCAGGTACCATGTTTCACAGTTTTAGCCAGTAAATATAAATAATGAAAAGTTAAAAGAAGCACATGGCCTATCAAAGAAGAAAAGCATATTAAAGGTAGGATTTCAACTACAGAAACACAGTGGAATGGATTTGCAAGAACGCTGATAAAATCTTCAGGAACATTTTTAATGATTTACTGCAATACCAACATGCCAAATGACAGATTAACATAGGCTTCTCCTGCACTGGATTATGGAGAGTTTCCCTCGGGCAACACTTTTCACTGTGATCCAGTTCTTGTTATGGCAGACATGGTACTGAACACGCAGCTTCCACAGACACTTATCACATTGCCACTCATCTCCCGTCACGGGGACTGTGCTGAGGAAGAGTGACAGTACGGTGTGTTGGCGAGCGTGTGGGTAAATGGGTCGTCTACAGCAACGTTACGGCTGCTCAAACTTCAGCAGCCTCAGAAAACTGAGAGGCTAGAACAGCTTGGTGAACGTTTCAGTAGGAATCCCTCTTGCCTGCGAGGATCCTCGTGCAGGAAGACGAACTAAGCGATAACTTGGTATCGTTAACCACATCAGTATGCCAAAGCCAACGATCTTGCTGAGATAAGGAAAATTTTGCCTGAGGAGGGAGCCACCTGGATACAATCATCTATCTTCCTTACAAAACCACCACTATGGTTTTGTTTTGGCTTGTCAACTCCTCTCAATTACTAGTACCATGAATTCCTCTTCATTTTAAAAGCAAAATGAATCACCCTTCTAAAAGTCAAAATTATACATAATGTGCTCAACCTAAAAAAGCTGCATTATTTCTGAATAAATCTGCACTTGGACAGAAGTATTTTACGCTCTTGAAAAGGAAACCTGTGTATTTATGTTAAAGGGTGTTTCACTATACCTTTGTCCATGATCCTGACTGGGGCTGTCCTGCTAACACAGGTGAATGTTAACACTGATAAGACATCCTGCTACGTGGTTTTATTCAAACGGAAAAATGTATTGGGAAGTGACATACTCTAAAATATGCAGGTTTTCCATAAGCATTTCTTGTTAAATCTTTTCAGAGACAGGTCTTCTGTACAACATTTTATTTTTAAAAAGCAGTGCCCATTTGGTGTTGTAACACTGATTTGCAGTGCCTGTGTTACAAGAACCTTTTTAAAATACATAACGATACAGTATACTATGTTGGTTTGGTTTGCGACATATTTTTAAATGCAGCAGGGCAGCAATTTCCACTAAATTAAAACATCATATTTACCTGGTTTTTTACCCTCACTATTGTTTAACCTTACAGAATTTTACTTTTTCCTTCTCCAAACCACAGGCTTCAATTACACCAATGTGGTATCTTTCCTTAAACAGTACAGAATCACTCGGCTTAAACATCCGAGTAAACACGAATGGTCACCACAGATCATCCTGCTTCTGACAGCCTTCCTGGAAAAGGGGACAAGCCCTCACTTCAAAAAGGAATGCTCTTTGCTGCCACAGTCATACAGTATTTTGACACTGAAGAAAAACACTGTAGGTGAGAACAGACGAACGTGATTTATACTCCATTTGTGTCAGAGCTGATACGGTATCTCTTATCTGTTTGAGGTGTCTTCATAAAATTACTTCTGAAAATAACATAAAACACTTTCCCCCAACCTGTTTTGAGATGTTTTCTCATGATGACTGGCCATGTAGTACTACATTTAGCTTAAGAATTTTAAGTGCTACACTGAATTCTGCTGGAAATGCAGTGTATTATTCCTTTTACAGTTTGTGTAACAAGAATTACTTTCTGGTTACAGCAATCATTTATTATTTGGAAAATCCCCTGAAAACACAACTTCATCCTGAATGCTTCCTAAAACTAGCTAACCATTTTCTTCTTATGGGTTTATTAAAGGCAAAATTATTACTACTAATTCACCTATAAAGTAACAATACTTGGGGATCCACAGAGCAGCTTCTTTTTGTTGACTTCCAGATAAGTATGTCAGCTTGGGATGTAGCTATTAAAAAATGATAGGAAGTCCCAAGGACTAAGATTTTATTAAAGTAGCAGCAGCGTAAAGGCATTTGATTGCTATAAATCTACTGCCTTGTCCTTCAAAACCCAACCAAAGTACCTGGAATTGGACTGAAACTGAGAGTAGCTTTGATTCAGAAAATTTATCTTCATGACGAAGAGCTATAAAACAGTTTTAATAAGCAGATTTATATTTTAAAATGTGCCTGAAGAAGACAGTGAAAATAAATTAAAAAGGGCATATCCACAACCTGAGCAAATAGAGTGACTGAACACTTACCCTAAGGCTTGGAAAGATGGAATGGAACGTGCCCAGTGCATGGACAAGAAAAGCAACCGGGAGGCAGACTCGCAGATATAGTGAACATTAAGATAATCAGGCATAGGAGAAGGCATGGTGAGCTGGCAACAAAAGAAAAAGTGCAAGTCAGTTATTTTACTTTCGACATAAAAAACTCCTATTTTACTTTCTTCATGGTAAGAAAAAAAAAAATCAGTCTTAAGAGATTCTTCTAAGTCAAAAAGTGGAATTGTTTTTTAAATTAACATGAGACAGTCCCGAAATAAAACTGAACCACCGCCTTTTCCATTATTAGCCACTCTGTTATCCCTGTAATAACTACAAAGCAACAAAAAAGGCAAATACTTTGAGTCTTTATCTTGGATAGATATTCATGTCTGGGACACCTGGAGATGGAAAATCCCCAAAATAACTCGACTTTTCAGACACTCAGAGAATACAAGTTTAAAAAGAATTGTTGTAATGAGAATGAAGTTGCTTACATTTATATACAGAGAAATACATTAAAAATAGAAACATAGAGGCATCATGGCTTTCTAAAGCTTCCCCAAGAGGAGTGGAGTAAGTTGCCTGAAAAATTGAAGGAGTTACCACAATTCCTGCGGAGGGTGGCTAGTGAATACTATTTCACAGAACACCTTCTTTTTGTACTTTTCATTAATATTTTACAAATAAATGCATTTTAAAAAATCTTTTTATGTGTAAAATACCTAATATACAGCTGCTCCCAAGTCCTAAAAGTATCATCAATATACATCAGAAAGAATCAGCTCTGCTGTTCTCCATGTAAATGAGTAAAATCAGTGTCATTACCCGCACATGTGAAGAAAATGGGATTTGACCCCAAACTGCTACATATATATAGTGTCGCAGCTCTCTCTTCAGAAATTAATACTTCTTAATATAATGGTTTGGCTAACACCATTTTAAAAAAACCACCACCAACAAACAACACAAAACAAAACAAAAAAACCAACAAACCCTGACATTTGCATCAGAGAGATGTTTGAGTGATCAAAACGTGCTGCTGGGAGGGTGTCACGGTTTAACCCCAGCCAGCAACTAAGCACCACACAGCCGGTCACTCAGTCTCCAACCCAACCGGATGTGGGTGAGAGAATCAGAAAGGTAAAAGTGAGAAAACTCATGGGTTGAGATTACAAAAGTTTAATAATTGAAATAAAATATAATAATGATAATAGTAATGAAAAAATTAATAACAAATATTTTAAAATTAGAATTAATAGAACTAAACCCCAAGCAAGACAAGCGATGAAAATGAAAACTGCTCACCGCCAACCGACCGATGCCCATCCAGTCCCTGAGCAACAGCCCACTCACAAACCTCCCCTCCAGTTTTATACGCTGAGCATGACGTCACATGGTGTGGAATATCCCTTTGGTCAGCTGGGTCAGCTGCCCTGGCTGTCTCCCCTCCCAACTCTTGTGCACCCCCAGCCTACTCACTGGTGGGGTGAGAGGCAGAAAAGGCCCTGACTCTGTGTAAGCCCTGCTCCGCAGGAACAATGAACACATCCCTGTGCTATCAACAGTTTTCAGCACAAATCCAAAACACAGTCCCATACTAGCTACTAGGAAGCAAATTAAATCTATCCCAGCCAAAACCAGTACAGAAGGGCAAAGTTTAATAAGACTAATTACAGGAGACTTCTGATAAGCAAGCTTTTTTATTTGCCCATGAGTAAGAATTCCTGCAGGCTTGTAAAATGAGAAAGAAAGCCAGAAAATACATGGCACACTTAAAAGGAAACTGTATTTTCCTTAAAGGTTAAAATCAATGAATACCATACTAACTAGGGTATATACACAAAGGACAAACTGACAAATACACTTTAGAGTCTCAAAATCCAGTTGCGGATTGCATCAGATCCACCCGGTAACAAGTGAGAATGCGGATGCCAACTCTCCGCTTCGAGGAACTCTTGACTATGTATATCCTTCTGCATAGATTACCTAGTATTTTTAAGGTAAGAAGCTATAAAACAGTGCAGCTAAACCACTGAAGAGAGATGTACATTTTCCCAAATGGTTAACCAGTGAGCAAAAGCGGTGCATTCAGCAGAAAGGAATGCCAATACCTGAAGAAATAGTTACTCCTCAAAGAAATTCAAAATAGGATTTAATCAGATTGTTATTTTACATTGCTATGTTAAAATGCTTATAGACAGTCAACAGTAAAAAAAGTGTGAAGTACCCTGAATGCTACGTGTGCATCACTGAGTAGTGGCCCCTCGATTTCAATGATATTCAGGCTTGTTTCTCCCCCAATCAGCTGTACACCGGCTTCGATGCTTTCAGAGTTCTGGCATGCTGCACTCTCTCCCGGATTGAATGCTTTTGCTAGAGTATCAAACGCCCTGTAAGATCACAACAAAACAAACAAAAATGAAGTAATTTAGGGACTGTTTCAATGAAGGAGGAAGCTGCACGTGTCTGAAACCTGTATTTAGATGTCTGTTTCAATGAATCAGGTTTAGAAAATAGAAGTCAGTAGCACACTTCACCAAACAAAATCCCTGAAAACTCCAAGTTAGAGTGGCTCTGCAAAAAAAATTAGCAGCAGATTCTGTTCACACTAGTTGCCAACAAATTCACAGTTTTGACATGTTGACTACGCTGCTGAATCACAGTTTGCTTTGCAAGATCTCTTCAGCGATGCTTATGGAAAGTGCTGGCATGAGTGCTGGGCACACATGACCACAGGCTGCTGTTAAAGCAACTGAAGGCACCTGTGCATTTTACAGACTTTGGCTGCTAGCTGGCACCCACGGAACAACCTTGGGGTTTTTTAAGTCATGAGTTATGTTTAGGTCGTTCAACTTAATTTGAAAAGACTGTTTCAAAATATGTAAGCGAAAGCACTCTCCTGCTTTCAATGGAACCCACAACATCAGAAGGATATAGACCGGTTGGAGCAAGTCCAGAGGAGGCCACGAAGATGCTCCGAGGGCTGGAGCACCTCTGCGATGGGGACAGGCTGAGAGAGTTGGGCTTGTTCAGCCTGGAGAAGAGAAGGCTCCGGGGAGACCTTATTGCAGCCTTCCAGTACCTGAAGGGGCTACAAGGAAGCTGGGGGGGACTTTTTACAAGGGCCTGTAGTGACAGGACAAGGGGTAACAGGTTTAAATTGGAAGTGGGGAGGTTTAGATTGGACATCAGGAAGAAGCTCTTCCCGGAGAGGGTGGTGAGGCACTGGCACAGGTTGTCCAGAGAAGCTGTGGATGCCCCCTCCCTGGAAGTGTTCAAGGCCAGGCTGGATGAGGCTTTGAGCACCCTGGTCTAGTGGAAGGTGTCCCTGCCCATGGCAGGGGGGTTGGAACTGGATGGTCTTTAAGGTCCCTTCCAACCTAAACCATTCTATGATTCTATTACACAGAAACAGAATAATAACGTTTCTAAAAGTAATCTACATGTCTAATACGGTTAAGAAAGGCAAGTTTCCTTGATTATTATTAATACCATCCTCAGCATCCTTTGATGCGAGGCAGTGACTCTTGTGAAGACCCAGTCACTTGCCAAACATTACTGGGAGATGCCAGGAAGAGCACAGATATATAATTCATTACTTTGCAGCTTGCTAACAGATCCATTGTTTTTCTGTGCATGAATACACCTGAGAACCAAGCCATCTTCAATCAAAAATAAACAGATTTGATCACTGCCTACAGGCAGATGACACATCCTGAGAGCAGCATCATTTATATACAGCGCTGCATGGAAAACTTACGTACAGAGGTCTGAAAACTTTACAAAAGCCAGTTAACAGTTTATATGTAGAACTGGTTCTCAATTTATAGACATGTTTATTATCACAGAATCTAAAAATCCAATTTATTGCCAAAGTCTGGAGTAGAATTTCACCACCACCTCTTCCTCCAAACTCCCTGGCTATCTAAACTCATTAACAAGCTAAAACAATCTAAATGTTTACTGTGTTTGACATAACCATTTACAACCAAATGAAACATCACCATAGAAGAGCTGTTGACACTGCCTCAGGCTTGATGTCGTAGAGGAACTAGTTTTTGGTCCTACACTAGCCTGCACATCTTGATGTGTACGCAAGAATGGCTGGGGCATGCACAAGTGGACTACACAGATATACCTGGGATGTTTTCTGCCTCAGGTATATGGAAAGTAGGCATAGAGGGAATGCATTCGTTCCCATAAAGCTCTAGAATTTTTATTGTTGGACTCCTGGCTGTAAGATGTGAATTTCAGGTCCTATTTGGCTCATTCTAGGCTGAACAGGCAAACCCAGAAGCTCAGTGGCAGTTGCTTCTTAGGAAAAACAGAAAAAGCCCTCTGCAGGGCTTTTCATGTAGCAGGGACAGAAATCTGAGAGGAACAAGATCTCTCCTTTCCCCAAATGATGTCATATGCATCTGCCATGACCCTGCATTTATGCTAGTATAGGCTGAAGAGTCCTTTTTAAACAGGGTGGGCAGGCACACTGGTTAACCATGTCTGCCCATGGTACTTTGTTTCCAGTTTACTCCTGAAATCTCCTCCCTCCAATCCCATAAACCAGCAGCAGTAAACCAGCAGAAGCCAACAGAGGCGTTGCTTTGTGGCCCTTTTCCAATGTGAAGCCCCAACACGAGCGATGATTGCAAGGTAAACCAAGGAAAAGAGAATCTAGAACAAAGCTTGCCCGGAAGCTATGAATACCTAAGCCCACAAAGTGAGAAAAAAGGTAAAATCAACATTAAAATACACGGTATTGATGCCCTGTGCTAAACCAACTTTGGTTGTCTTTTCGTCGGGCCTAGTCACTAACAGATATATAGGGCTGCTGATAAACTGTGAAAAATGAACAGAGACAATGAAGCTGTCAGAAGACAAGGCATATAACAGTACAATATAAAAGCAGTGGAATGCTAGCAGCAAAGTTGTACTCTAACAGCAAAAGCGAAAGTTTAACTACCATAGCTGCAAGCAATGGAACATAAAATACATTAAAAACACAGATGGATACACCTTACTTCCTAAAATCCCTTAAACTCCTTTTCTTCAGTAAACCTTAGGGATTAAACTAAAATTCTTCAGTAAACATCTGTGTCTGTTCGATCAAGCTGGCATAAAGCCTGGCAAGAAAACCAAAGATTTAGATAACAATTTTAGCTTCTGCTGGGGTAAGAACTTCCCGTTTACAGGAACATTTAAACTGAACCTCCCGCCTGGCAACGTTTGAGGTAACCTACTAGACAAGGATATGCGCTAAGCTGAGTCAGAGCTCTCTCAAGCTCTCTGCCCAAGAGAACTTGGTGCCTTGCCATAGCCAGAGTCTTAAAACTGAACAGGAACACCAAAGCTGGCAAAAGCAAACAGCTGGAAGTGCCAGGAAATAAAGAAATGAAAAATTGTCGTGCAATCTTAGTACTACATCTTTTGGAACAGCCGTAGTATTGAATGAAGTTCATCAGCACGTACAATGCTATTTACACGGCACATTCTTGCGTTCTTTACCTGGGAGGACACAGCGAAGGCCCAAATCAGCACCTGTATGAAGTCACATGGCCCTTCTAAGAGGCATATAAAGAAAGGAGCAGAACAAATGCACTCTGCGTGCCGCTGTACACAGCAGTAGAGACTACAGGGGGAGATCACGTATTTCAGTTAGTACAAACTACTTCACTATGTATCAGTCTTTGTTTCCTTGGTGGATTTACTTCATGTAAGGAGTCTTTTCAAAACAGATGAACAGTGTAGGTAGTGTGTAAAGGAATATTGCTGGGACAGCTGTCAGAAGTTTGCATGAGATGACAGCCAAGGAAGAATACGATTGTGACTGACAGAATAACTGAGCATGTACGTACTACACAGCGTATCTTACACATATGCTCGTGAAAGTGGCTCAGTTAAAACCAGCGCAAGACACAAGTCTAAGATATTCAAAGCACAAGGAGGTGATTCAAGACAACAAGCACAGCTTCACCCAGGGCAAGTCCTGCCTGACCAACCTCGTGGCCATCTATGATGGAGCGACTACCTCAGTGGAGAAGGGAAGAGATACGGATGTGCCTATCTGGACTTCTGTAAAGCCTCTGACACGGTCCCCCACAACATCCTTCTTTCACCGTTGTAGAGAAAGGCTTTGATGGGTGCACTGTTTGGTGGATGGGGAATTGGTTGGATGGTCACATCCAGAGGGCAGTGGTCAATGGCTCAGTGTCCAGATGGAGGTCGGTGACAAATAGTGTTCCTCAGGGGTCTGTACTGGGACCAGTGTTGTTTAATGTATTCATCAGCGACACAGACAGTGGGATCGAGTGCACTCTCAGCAAGTTTGCTGACGACATCAAGCTGTGTGGCGCGGTCAACAGGCTGGAGGGAAGGGATGCCATCCAGAGGGACCTGGACAGGCTGGAGAGGTGGGCCACTGCCAACCTCACGGAGTTCAACAACGCCAAGTGCCAGGTCCTGCACCTGGGTTGGGGCAACCCGAAGCACAAGTGCAGGATGGGGGATGACAGGATTCAGGGCAGCCCTGCTGAGAAGGACACAGACCTGTTGGAATAGGTCCAGGAATGGGTCCCCAACTCTCATAGCCTGCTATGGGGACAGGCTGAGAGAGTTGGGCTTGTTCAGCCTGGAGAAAAAAGGCTCAGGGGAGACCTTATAGAGCCTTCCAGTACCTGAAGGGGGCCTGTAAGAAAGATGGGGACAAACCCAGCAGGGGTTGTTGCAAGAGGAAAAGAGGTAATGGTTTTAAACTAAAAGAGGGTAGATTTAGACTAGATCTAAGAAATTTTTTACAATGAGGGTGGTGAAACACTGGAATAGGTTGCCCAGAGAAGAGGCAGATGGCCCATCCCCTTAGCAGGGGGCTGGACTAGAAGACCTTTAAAGGTGCCTTCCAACTCAGATTAGTCTATGATTCTATGACATTCAATGATTGTATTTGTATTGACAGTGAGAATTCTGTGAGTTCTATGTAGAAAGAAAATGCTTTGCAAGATTTTAAGACAATGAAGTTACAGGCATTAAACTACTTATCAAAGGTGAGATCTCTAAGAAAGTTTTCTAGGATGATACAAATACTAAGACTTGAAGACAAGATCGAAGATATGTTAAGGACAACCAAAAGGTTAAGAAAATCACCTGCAAGATTTACACTGAAATTTATTATAAGTAGAAACAAATGAAAGTATTTATTCACAAATGGCGTTTCCTTATGATTTCACCTGCAAGAATCTCACAAGATTTATCTTCTACATGAGCTCAGACTGTTAATTTTAATGCAGCTGAATTACGTGTATTTTCAAGTGTAATGTGTCTTACCTTGTAACATCACTACTGGCTCGTTCTTCTTGCTGGAGTTCAGATAATGATGCGTCTCCATTACTTAAAGTCTCAATCATAGACAGCTCTGTACTGCTTTGTGACATGTCTTTGCATTTACTGAGATTTGCTAATGAAGTCACCACGTTTGCCAGTGTACTTAAATCTCCCTGGCATGCTTCAACCTAAGGGAAAAGTAGAGTTTTTAATTCTCTCTTATTGGCAGCAGTTAACTTGCAGTAGAAGAATCTAACTTTTACATAAATGAAGAACTGAGCGTGTGAATAGACCTGCAAGAAGATTATTGTTTTCAGTAAATGGGTAATCATAATGCAGCAATTAGACACTGCATTGCTTCTAAAATATGTAATATTTAGACATTTACTTTTACAAGTAATAGCTATCTGTGTCTTTCAAAGTGCTACAAATGCAAGAGCAGAAAGGGAATTTATCATTTCCAGTCGCTAGTCAGTCACCAGGACTGTAAGATTGCACTAGATTATATTTTTAGCATCTTCCTCCCTTCCTCGTGTAAATGAGTCAGCAGTAATAGGGTAGTAGAACATTTGAAAAGAAGGAATAGATAAAAAGTCACCCTTAAAACCAAGCAGAAAAAGAATGCTGCTTGAGCCTTTTTGGGTTTTACGCCTTCATTTAACTGCTAGGGAACAAGGCGACTCAGTAGTGAACAGCAATCCTGAAAAAAGTGAAATGGAGTAAACAAGTTTTGATGGGGCCCTCTGCAGACAGAACAAGCGAGGCAAAATGCATGGAAGCAGTATGAGGTAATTTAATATTGGCTAGAAGAATACAAAAGCTTCCTGCTGTGCATGGGTAGGGAAGCTATCACATGGCTTTAGTGGATCAGCAAGTGTAGCAAAATGGAAACAAAGGAAAACCAGCTCAGAAATTAGATTGTTGCTGAGATAGCTCTTATTAGCTTTGCAAAAGAAATAGAGATTCCGGGGAAAACCACCATAACTATTTATGAAATGCACTGTGACAATGCCATATGAGGTTTTGCAAACATCTCACTATTGGTACAAAAGAAACATCCAAGTCTCAGGACTGCCCAATGCGAAGAAAAATAATGCAGTAGCCCTTAAAGGTCTCTGAAAACATGGAGGAAGACATTTACTTTGTACAGCTTTTAGCATTTTTACTGTGCAAGTACTTTGTACAGCTTTTAGCATTTTTACTGTGCAAGGCTAAAAGCATTCTTGTGAAAAGAAGCCTTAGCAACATTGGCTGATACTGGGAAGGAGTGTTTTAAAAATGCATTTAACAGAACAGAAGACCCTTCCCTCCCCTACACTCACAGTTACAGCAACCAACTCTACTTAATGTGTCAGCCGTATCATCACGTACCTTATCCGGAGTCATCAGCACAGTAGGCTCATTTTTCATGGCAGACTGATGGATGTTAACAAACATTCCCGATTCCAGCAGACCTGTTGATCTGACAAAAGACAGCCCACATTTTAGCTCTGATTAATACTTGAATTAGTTTTTCCTATTTCAGCAAACAGAGATAGCTGCTTCTGAGTAGTATTCACGTACCTTGCGGTTTCATTGTCTGTTACAAAGGTTGGAGTTGCAGCTAATGGACTACGAAGATCTTTCCGAATGTAGATCTTTTCTGTAGAAGCCGCACAGTTGGAAGATTTTTCTCTTGACACTTCAATAGGTTTCCTCTCACACTGCACAGCTAACAAACCAATATGCAACTATTAAGTCACATCCCAAATGACAGACTAAGAAACAATCCTTTTTCTTTCTTTAATCTGCAATTTTAATAGTGATTCTGAAAATAGTTTAAAAAAAAAACAACCCATTCCATAACCAATAAGCCAACAACTTGGCAGTACACCAATTTGATTTGTTCTTAATGAAGTGATGTAGTAGTCAGAGCGTGAAACCAAACATACAGACACTAAATTTGTCAAGTTACATTAGCTTTAATTTGGATCTTAAGTGGAGGCTTATGGCTTCTCCTTCTCTCAATTTTCCTATCCCACACTCTGAGCTCATTTGTAAAGGATTCATGGTTCCCTTTTCCATGGTCTGTGGGTCTGGGTTGAATCCACGTAACTTTACGTGCTTAAAGCAGCTTCCCAAGTTAGGACGTTAGACAATACAGAGGGAAAGGGACATCCACAAAGTTTAGTTCTGACCATTTAAGACCTGGGCAACATCCTGACCCACAATCACTAACTTCAGAAAAGCAGCTGACACTTGATTTGAATAGCTCAGTGAAACTAGGTGGAATGAACGTAGGCTTTAGCCGACAGATACATCACCTTGCTTGGCATGGATTAGAGAACATCCAAATGAACCTTACAGTATTATACCCTATGGGGAACTCTCTAAGGAATAAAGCCAAAAGAAACCAGTTTACAGTTTGATTTTAAAAGTTTAAAAGGAAAATTTAATTTCTGGAAAAGTAACAGTAACACCGTTACTGCATAACTTAGTAAGAGGTATTGTAAAGTATGCATCTTTTAAAAATATACAGTAAGTTGTTCTTCCACAATTCTGAAGTGGTGCAAATCATTCTGTAGATTGGAATAAAATCCTGAGAGAGTCACAAACCAGGCCTGTATGTAATTTAAAATACACACCAATTTACCAGCCAGATAAGCATCGACTACTGGCCAGCAGAGCCTCTTTAATATTGTACTGCGCATAGAAACTGTTTAAGCCTGGAAAGAGAATCCTGAATGTTTGGTATTTAAAAAAAAAAAGGCAAATAGGAAAAAAACTAACTATTTTTTATTAAATTATGCAGTTTTGGAAAATGTGTAAGTAGAGAGCAAAATTAAAAAGCTTTCAAGTTAGTAGCAGACCGTGATGCTATTTGAATTTTTACATTGGTAAGTATCCTAAAACCAAATGTCGTAGTACCACCAAGTATTGCCAATGCCATTAAAGCTAGTCCGTAGCCCCCAGAGGGTGCTTTGAAAGGGTGGGAGAAGGAGACAAAAGTCTCTCATCTTCCTTGTTTAACCCTGTGCTTGCTAGCTGGGGATGAGTTTGCTGAGAAAAGGCCAAGATTTCTTCAAGGGGCAAATAACCCCACTGAGGGAGCTACAGTACAAGACGGTGCTGAGGCTTCTTTCCTCTCCACACTCCACTGCAGAATGAGACCCCGTAACCGAGAACAATCCTCTCCTCAGTATTCCCCCCTGACCCAGAGATCTTTTTCCTGCCTTCTGACCCCCAACCCCAGAAATTTCATTCTGCTTAGAAAGTCTTCTGTGGAGGGGCACAGTACTGCCCTAGAGGGTGAAGGTCCGCCCCAGCTCCTCCTCCCTTTCTGAATTAATTTCTTCAGTGCTAGTGACGTGTTACTGATGACAGAAGCAGGGCTGTAAGGAGGGGAATGTTCACAAAGGTTCAAGAGGGTCAGCAAAATAGACCTGGATGGCAGCGAGCAGAGCACGTGACTAAGCCTGCGCATAGAGCAACAGTGTGGCAGTATCGGGCCTGAATTCAGCTACTGCTTGATTTTCTGTGTATTTAGTGTTCTGCTACAGCTGTGGTATTACCACGTCACTACAGCCAGTGTATGGAAATCTAAAAAGGAACTTGAAATCTACAGGAATCAGTAAGAACTGATCTCTAGATCACTATGGATCTTTGCCTTGCGAACAACTGTTCTGCAGAGCAGTGCCAAGAGTGAACAGCAATTGTCAGCAGCCTCAGCCGTGGAAAAAGTGACAAGCAGGTAGAAGGATGCTCGGTGTCCAGTAGCTTCATTTACACAGAGGAATACGGAACTGCATATATACAAACACAGCATGAGGACATGCTTGACATTTGCCACCTAGGAACAACAGTTCATTCCCTTTCACCACATGCAATGTGCTTATTAAGTTCGTCAAGCAGTACGTATGCCGGAAAACAGACATCTGAGACACCAAACTTGCACAATTCTTTAAAGGAAAAAGATACAACCATTTAAAACTATAAAGTCAAGGTAACAATTTGTCTTAATACCAAGCGTATCTTCCACAGCACAAACTTTAACACAGCTGCCAGCTAAAATAATTTATGCTTATTCAGACTCACAATCTTGTTTCATCCCAAACGCGATGCATCTCTGCAGCCTACAGTACTGACATCGGTTCCGGTGGTGTTTGTTAATGACACAGTCTTTTGTTCCTCGGCACGCATATACTAAATTCTTCCGTATACTCCTTTTAAAGAATCCTTTGCATCCCTCACAAGTTACTGCTCCGTAGTGACGCCCTAGTTATGGAACAACATAAATCACAACATAAATTTTACACTGTAATATTATTTTCTTAAGAGATTATATTATTAAAACCAAAGTATTTGCTATTTTACCCAGAAATGAACACTTTTCCCTCCCACAGGTTACAGATCTTACAATATGCAGAAAAAAAGCAAGTGAACCATTTTTCTAGTTCAAAGCACTTAAACAGGACAGATTTTTAGAAATGGGCAAGTTGCTTATTAAATTCTTGCTGAATCTGTTGATGGTAGTGTGAAAAACAGCTAAAAAACAGGTTAGCAAAAACATAGAAGACATTTAATTTGTATACTCTTTAGCAATTTTTTTAATCTCCCTACAGTCACAGATTCACAGAGTGGAAGGGGTTGGAAGGGACCTCTAGAGATCATCTAGTCCAACC